ACGGGAAACGAGGGTGATAGAGTTGAAAAAAATATGACCACGAAGAAGTTGTTGGGAAAAGTTGCTGAATTTCTTGTTAACAGGGTTTTTTTTTTTAGTTATTGCCAAATGTGCTTCTAATCACGTTAAGATGTGTTTGATAGAGTCGGGTTCTCGACTTCACACCCGTTATTACAATCTATCTGATAAGTGGGCTCGGAGGGCGTTAGGTTGCAGAAGAAACATCAACGTGATGGATTACCAGAGGAAAAATGTTTTATGCATATTGAAAAAAGATTCTAAAACTCAAATTCAGTTCGAAAATAGGTTTTTGGTTTAAAAAGACGAATTTCTTAACAGCTCGAAGCTACATAGGATGGGCAGCACCTACGTGTGTGAAAACACTTAAAGGGGCACTACATGTGGGCACATTGCCAGTCCCAGCGAATTTTATTAAAGCAATTCAGACTCGACTTTGTTTGTCTACTAACATAAATGTTAATATAACATTGTCATATTCAGTTACATAGTTCCGAACCGCCGTGGTATTGCTGGCACTTTGTTCAAAGCGGCGTAAAACTAAATTCACTCACTACATAGTTCAGTGACATTTAACCATTCAGCTAAATCATCTCTATGTTTGATACATTTCATTGCATATTATGCAATAGTCAATTACAATCGATGACTAGGCTTTCGTGTCAGTCAATCTATTGTTATTCACCCTTACCGTAATAGATTAAATCATTATACATTTTTTATCCACGGTAATATGTCGTATTAATCCGTTACATGAGCATTTGCGATATACAAGTCAGGGTGTAACCTAGTGGTTGAAGCGCTCACTCGTCACGCAAAAGAGTCAGAGAGTGAGTGTGGTTTTACGCCGCTTTTAGCAATATTCAAGCAATATCATGGCGGGGGACACCAGAAATGGGTTTCACACATTGTACCCCTGTGGGGAATCGAACCCGGGTCTCCGACGTTACGAACGAACGCTTTAACCATTAAGTTACCCCACCGCCCTTCACGCAGAAGACACAGGCTCGATTCCCCACATGGGTACAATGAGTGAATATTGGAATATTGCTTCGAACTAATTCTCAGAAAGTTCAAGAATACTTGAAATAATAATTGACATATGATGACAGGGATGAATAGGATCTTTTTAACTTCTTCTTCTGACTGACTGACTGACTGACTGAGTTTGGTTTTACGCCGCTTTTAGCAATATTCCAGCAATATCACGGCAGGGGACACCAGAAATGGGCTTCACTCATTGTACCCATGTGGGGATTCGAACCCGGGTCTTCGGCGTGACGAGCGAACGCTTTAACCACTAGGCTACCCCACCGCTCAACTTCTTCTGAACAGTATACGTGTCGCTGAACAGGATGCCCAACATCATGAAGACCTATTAATTTGGAATTCTGACTGCTTGTGCACAGACTCTTCGCTCACTACATCTGTGCAGGAAACTCCTCTCATCGTTTCAGCTGCTATGCGAGCAGGTATTCTGTACATGGTAGTTGTACCATTGATTGTATGGTGTACAGTAACTGTTCTGGAACACAGATACTGATTTTCCTTCCAGACGTCGTGTAGGCAAAGCAGAAATCAACGAGGTGCTCAACAGGAATGCCCCATTTTACACATGTTTGGTGTGTCAAATGGTTGTCGATTGGAAAGTGAGTTTAGTTTTACGCTGCTTTTGGCAATATTCCAGCAAGATCACAACGATGAACACGAGAAATGGGCTTCACTCAGTGTGATATACCCATGTGGGGAATCGAACCCGGGGTTTTGGACTGACGAGCGAACGCTGTAACTACTAGGCTAATCCACCGCCCCGTGCTGGCACTACAATAGTCGGAATAAGTGCACGCAGTCACACACACGCACACATACACACACACACACACACACACACACACGTGCATCTCGATGCATGTAAGTGAAATGATTTAAGTTCAGTAAACCTCATCACCCATCCTCAGTTAACATCTACATCTACAGCTGAATCAGTTTGTTTGTCTGAAATGAAGGAACGAGAAAATGCGTCGAGATTGTTATGGATCACAAATAGCTCCAGAGGGTGACTGCCTTGTACCGCACAGTGCTCGGCTCCCTTTAACGTCACAATAAACCATGGGCAGAATATGGCATTGAATAACTCTATGATTTCAATATGCGCTGTCATTTCTAATTTTCTTTATACTATTGGTTATTGAAATGATGGGATCTTTGCATCGCATGAAACATCAGAATCTCAAACAACGCTCACATACAGGAAATTACATCTCATGCAGTGACCAGGCTGGAATTTGTTATTAAATTCCCCAAGAAAAAATCTCATAATTCTCAAAGATATGTGAACTATTCTGGTTTCTTGACCACCCCATCCCCAATTCATGCCAGCGCATAAGATAGTAGAGGATAAATCGTTCTAAGGCCATGTGTGTGTCGTGTTTATCACCCGAATGGGATTTCCTGTTTGCTCTCTCCGACGTCCGCGCGCTTGCTGTGCTCGCGATGCCGTTCAGGTGACGGAAAAACCCGATGATTGGTTTCAAGTTAACACCGTGATTAATCGCAGCGTCGATCTGTGCAATTTAGGAGTACATTTTTAGGAATATATTGACAATGATATGAAATATAGGGATTATCTCAATGCCTCACGCCCAGACCAATATTCCTAATACTCACTTTCCAAGGAAAGGAGAGCAAAAATATATCATTTTACGATTTGCAAAGATATTAGGACCTAGATTGATGTACCCTTGAGTCCCAGACTGCCTGCAATGACATAACCCTTATCGGAATATGCAGATTTAAAAATGATAAAATAACATCATTTGTTGCAGGAATTGCACTCGTATATTTGCCTATTACTAGATTTCCAATATTTTACCATTTTTTTTGACAGATGTGCACACAAACACGACTTCGTTAGTCCCTTGATAGGTATTCATCTTATCTTTAAAAGGAAACGTTATTATTTTCATAGCTGTTTGTCTAACGAGAATTTCTTTCATTTTTAAAGTCGTAAAAGCGTCAAGGATTTAAAAATTATGTGAGGGTATATTTTGTTATATTTGGCCCGTATTACACGGAAGCTACTATATTACGATCCAAGGTTTTAACGATTTCGTCTCGTGGATCATCAGGTCTAGGGCTGTGAATCCAAGATTCTTTTAGAGTATCATCCTGGTCACACTACCATAAAAGTGCTCGGGGGTTTCATGACCTTGCATCATATAAGAACTGCATCATTTCGACTTTCCAACAACATCCCGCTGACACGTTGTGAAATAAATGAAATATTGTTCAAATAAGCGTTAAACCAAACTCACTTAAAGTAGCAAAATCGAATGAGACGTTTGCGTTACATGGGAATCTCTATAAACAGCTCTCACACTTGGGCTTTACTGAAGATGCAAGTGAGGATGTGTTCGGGTTATGTAGGAGTTTCTGAGACCTTACATGATATGATTGAATACGTTTAAAAAGAGACATCTAATCCAGTCAATTCTCTCGATCCAATTCCTTCAAGTCAACGGACAGGTCATGGTATTTTTTCACCTGTCAATGCTTGAGTAGGGCTTAGCACTCGTTTGAACGCAAGTCGTTTTCAACGGAAAATTCCAGTTTATTAGCAAGAATAGCTTACCATGATGCAAGCATTGAGCGTTTTAAGATTCAACATGGTTATTCTGCTTATAAGATGACAAGTATAATCGGAATGCTGGATTCGAACCCCTAATAGGACTTTTGTATGACTAGAGAACGCCTATGATGTCTTAGACGAGACCCGTGAGGATCCGGGGAAGAGCTGACACGACTAACGGGATTGGGTGGTCAGGCTCGCTGACTTGGTTGACACATGTCATCGTATCCCAACTGCGTAGATGCTGTTGATCACCGGATTGTCTGGTCCAGACCATTATTTACAGACCTCCGACATATAGCTGGAATGTTGCTGAGTGCGGCGTAAAACTAAACCCAATCAATCAATCTAAGACGACTTGGGTACGCGTGTCCAATTTTGTCAAAGTTTTGTGTTTATCGTGGTTATATACTACTCAAAGGGACGAGTTTCCTTACTTCTTTTGTTAATCAGTCATGTCGCGACCGATTCTTTCATATTTCAGTAGTTAATCTGTCATGCTTTGACCCGATTCTTTCATCTTCCGATAGTTAATCTGTCACGTCATGACATAGGCTAGTGGTCATTACCTTCTTTGGAGTTTGGAGTTATGCACTTGATGGGATTGAGGGTTTGCACGGTGGAAACAGTATGAGTCTGCAGTCTTGCTCATAATTCTCTCACCATAATGACTGATATCAGGTCGATATATGGAATACAGCAAAGGTTTGCTGTGTTCTTTCCAAATACGAACATAACACTTAGAGACATGTACGCGTGATTAATGAGCCTTGAAAATTGTCCAAGATGAAGGATGTGCCATTGTGAATGTAGGGAATCGAACAAACCCTGCTAAACAATTAGGACATTTGTTCCCGATGTTGACATTGGTATAAATCAATTAGGATTAATGACTCCGACTCTCAATGCCGGAAGCAAATTTGTCTACGAATTACCAAGAATAGAAACAGTTCAAAGACTATGCAATCATGAAAATACGGCATACTTATCCTGCCCTTGCATTTCCGTTGTAACGACCTACTTCTAACTATCCTGTTTGGTAACAAATGTGTCTGCAATTCATTATCCAGTCAGTTTTGACGTTTTCCATTGACGTCTGAAGGTTATTATAACGTTGAGGTTATTCCCTGCCTGCGTCATTGAGAACGCTTTGGTATCAGCTCTTTGTTTTCATTAAACAATAAGCCTAAATGTTATTTTGTATTTCAGAGGAACTAGTGAAATAGACATCGATATACAGAAAATGGATATTGACCATTGTCCACTAGACGAGAGGTCAAATCATTAAGGACGCTTTAGTACCTTTTTTCATCACACAACAAGCCTAAATGTCATTATTTTTTTTTTATTTCAGAGGAACTAGCGGAATAGATATCGATCTACAGAAAGTGGATATTGACCAGTGTCCACTAGACGGAAAGTCAAGTGAGGACAACGTGTTTGCGGGATCGTCGCGATGTACTCCCGAGACGACGAGGGTATGTACAGATGAATTTCCTAAATAACGACATCTGCCGCAGTCTGCATCTCAGATCTCTCCATCATGTAGCAATGACGTGAAACCCCTAAAAACGGGACCCTGTTTATCCGGAGTCTCCCCTGTCGAATACTATTTGAATCAGTGAGTGCGTCCTGTTTAATGATGCAGCATTTCACTTATAGCACTGCGTGTCATCTTGATGTGGACGAACCCTTGAAGATCCGGGTTATATTGGTCTTCAGTAACCCATGCTTGTCGTAAGAGGCGACTAACGGGATAGGGTGGTCAGGCTCGCTGACTTGATTGACACATGTCATCGGTTCCCAATTGCGTAGATCGATGTTCATGCTGTTGATCACTGGATTGTCTGGTCCTGTCTCGATTATTTCCAGACCGCCGTCATATAGCTGAAATATTGCTGAGTGCGGCGTTAAACAACAAACAAACCAGAAATGGGCATCACATTTTGCACCCACGAGGGAAATCGAACCCGAGTCTTCAGCGTTACGAGCGAACGCTTTAACCACTAGGCTACCCTACTGCCCCTTCACCAATGTGGCAAACGTCGTAGACCTGCATCATTTTAACTTTCCTCCCTCATCAAACGTAGGTGTCGTGAGATAACCGAAATACTGTTAAAAACTGTGTTAAACCCAACTCACTTACTAACCGGGTTAGAATTGATCTTCAGTAACGCATGCTTGTCGCAAGACGCGACTAACGGGATCGGGTGGTCAGGCTCGCTGACTTGATTGACACATGTCATCGGTTCCCAATTGCGTAGATCGATGCTCATGCTGTTGATCACTGAATTGTCTGGTCCAGACTCGATGATTTACAGACCGCCGCCATATAGCTGGAGTGCGGCGTAAAACTAAACTCACTCACTTAGCTGGAGTAGATTATGTAGGCAATCTTAATTTTAATTTAATCGCTTATTATAACTTTTTTTCTGACTGATGAAGTGTTTTTAGAAATATGGGGTTAGTGGAGCACTGTCATCCATATATCAGTCACTGCGCAATGAGAAGTATTATTGGCCTCTGAAAAACAATTGCATTTACACTAAATCAATATGACTGATGTGACCCTACGTTCCTATATTGGTAAGATAAATCATTGCTTTATTAAATGTCACTGAGGAGAGGACCACATAAATAGCTGTCCTCTTTTCACTGAACCAGAGACTACACACGCCGCGATAATAATGGACAATAAATAATTGACGTATATGTATAAAAACAAAATGCCAGAAAGAACTACGTCGATCACTCGTGTTGTTCCGGCTAATTTCGGCGTGACTAACGGAAACAACCGAGTGGTGATATATGAGAGCGAAACTCAACAAAAAGTATTTAATGGATTGCGATTGACATAGGTGATCCTTTATTGTTTTTATGGTCATTTATCTCGTGAAATTTATCATTTTTTCTTTTTCATGTGTAAAGAAATCAAATACATATTATTTAATTTCATCAGGAAAAAATCGTTAAATGGAAGTACGCCGTCTTCACATTTTGGCATTGTTGTGTGAAAAACCATTTTGTTTGTCGGTAATCATGTATAAATAATTAATAGCTTATGGTAATCAATGCATGTCCCATCGTCAAGACTTCACGGTTTTGTATACACTGAGTGAATACACCCGTAAGTGACCTGTGAAGGTCCGGGTTAGAATTGGTCTTCAGTAACCCATGCTTGTCGTAAGAGGCGACTAACGGAATCGGGTGGTCAGGCTCGCTGACTTGGTTAACACATGTCATTGGTTCCCAATTGCGTAGATCGATGCTCATGCTGATGATCACTGGATTGTCTGGTCCAGACTCGATTATTGCCAGACCGCCGCCATATAGCTGGTATATTGCTGAGTGCGGCGTAAAACTAAACTCACTCACTCACTCACAGCCGTAAGTCTCGCGAGGCGCTACCTCCGGTGCTAAGCTGGTTCACGGCTCTCAACTTACGATATGCGAGACGGGGCCCAGCTTACTTCCGGTACCAGATTTCCAGTTCTGGTTCCAAATTGCACAACCACCAAATATGACTTTACTAGACCGGACGATGTGTACAACCATGCTTGTCACAGCTGTTGACAGTTGTAATAGTTGGCTAATTTGGGGATGGTTAGATCGGAAATTTCTAATTCCTGCAAGGATTATCGGTTCCATACTGTCAACTGACAACTATGAGACGGTAATGAAACATCGCTTGTCACCGGAAGTACAAAGGTCTCGCGAAGTGCCGTGACCTACTTACGGGCCCTGTTAGTCAGCGAATGAAGTTGGAGGTCAATCGGTCCAAGCTCCATACATGGTTTTTGTGCGAGCCCTATTATTGCTTGATATCAAAGCCATGTGGGGAGTACGTGGCGACACGGCTGCGGCATCGGTGTCGCGAGATATGTTGCTTTGTACGATGTCATCTGAGCTCTTATTGGTCAGAGCACCCAAACGTCTCCACAACTCTGGAACGATGCCGAGGCTTGATTCTATCGTATGTATTCACAAATGATGGATGAACGTTGGGTACATAAACCCTGGAAGTACCGACGACCATTGCAATCTAAAATTAATACATTCCCCAATCACACATTGACAATGTCTCAGAATGATACAGGCACTAATTACAAGATCAAAGTTTGGACCAAGACCCAAAATGGGCACCCCTTTAAAAATGCCCTCTACTTAAATTGAAAAAAAGATGACCAATTTAGGCACCATTCAGCACGTGAAACTTCCTCGGCCAATAGTCAGACCCTCTTGACCACCCAATTTAGTCTTCAAAGAAACCAAACGCGGAAATATCAGCCGATTTTTTCACTTAAGACTGGATGAACTCGGATTGCCAATATATGCCATCAGTTCACCAACGATCCTTACAAAGTTCACGAAAGACTGTGCAAACTGTACCGATGGATCAGGATTTAAGGCCCCATCACCACATCGGTCAACTAACATCAGGATCAATAAAACTTTTGGAAAAGCCAATAAGTCATTATGAAGACAGTATGGCGATCTGCCTTCTCTCGCTCTGACGCATTGCCCTCCTTGTCGGGCTGTTTGTTTAAACAGCAGTTCCAAATACTGTTTTGGAGATCGTTGGTTTGAGTGGCGCAACGATTAAGTCTTGTAGACAGGGTACATTTGTTTGATGTGATGGTTTGCATTGAGATGGACTGTACTTAGATTAGTTCTTAGGATAATAGCGATTATGCTTGCCCTGTTTAATCTGGAGATTTGAAGAATGTCTAGGGACATTAAAAAGTTTTAAAAGGAAAATAATTATGGGCGTTTTGAAGTTTATAATTAACTATCACACAAAGAATGTGTAAAGATTCTTAATGGAACATTAAGGAATGCGATAATGCGAAGTTGTTTTGAAACGGATATTAATGTTCGTTGCGAATTAAATCATTAACTCTTACGCTTACTATTTGAACACGTCATGTGACCATTCTTTAAGTAATGCATATACACTTATTGGGTGTACAAATACAAGATGTAAAAGAATGATCTTATCGTTATACTCATGTGTTTTGGAATCGAACGTTCTTTCTGATATCACCGAAGTACATGTATGGAGTGTAACACCAATGTAGACCAGCATCGACAATACTCGAGCCTTATGTTGGCAAAAATATGTGAGTGAGTATGGTTTTACGCCGCTTTTAGCAATATTCCAGCAATATCACGGCGAGGGACACCAGTAATGGGCTTCATACATTGTACCCATGAGGGGAATCGAACCCGGGTCTTCGGTGTGACGAGCGAACGCTTTAACCACTAGGCTTCCCCACCTCCCCGTTGGTTAGGGCATCAGCTGAACAGTGAAGGATGAATCTGGCGAACAGTTAGGAAACACATTCCGAATATCCCATCAGTTCCCTACAACAAGGATATTCCTTGACGAACAATCTGCCTCTGTGGTGTAGTGGGTAGAACGCCCTCTCCTGACCGTACGTTTCATGGTTCGATTTCCGTCCCCATCATTCTAGAAATATGGTACTTATTGTCATCCTGCCTGGTGCTCGACATTGAGGATATAAACCACTGGTCGGCTCGGAGTCAGTATCATGTGATAGATAGGTAGATAGATAGATAGATAGATATTTATTTACGTCTCGCCTCAACATGGTACAGTAACAGCTAAGTACATAAACACAATATCACAGTGATAAGTTGAGCCATTCCGTACAAATTATGAGAGACACTTGTGCTAAAAAAATATAAGGAATATGATGTGGTGATCTGAATGCCCGCGGGGTAGCCTAGTGGTTAAAGCGTTCACTCTTCACGCCGAAGACCCGGGTTCGATTCCCCACATGGGTACAATGTGTGAAGCCCATTTCTGGTGTCCCCCGACGTGATATTGCTGGAATATTGCTAAAAGCGATGTAAAACTAAACTCACTCACTCATCTCTATATAATTATGTAACAAATACTCAAAGCCAGGTAGTGATTATCTCGATTACAAACTTCATTCCATTGGGCAAAATAGTGGTGATTATCGCATGAATGAAATCGGCAATGGCACCTGGTGTTCACCTTAAGATATAGTAGACACCGTCTAATAGAGACTCTTTATTTCTATGGACAAGATTGTATCGTTTTTATTGTCTTTTCCGGCTTTTAAATGCAAACATCACGACGCAGTGCCATTGGCTTTCGAGGCTCATTCCGATTAAACTCGCAACAGCAACATCAATGAAAAAATCGTGATGTCGTAAAATTTACGCTCGCTCTTCGGTCCGCGGTATACATAAACATCCTCCGATATCGAACTAACATGTACGGTTATGACGGAACGCTGGGCCTTGGAATTGGTCCCTCATCAAACCGCGTCCGATTTTATTCACAAAAGACGAAGGGGGGATATTAAAGTTGAAGTTTCAGGCTACAACCTCAATGGTTGTATGGGTTCCACACAGAACGAAATTGTCCTCCCCGTTTCCATTCGAGAATTTACAAATGTCTTTAACGTTCCTTGAATGACACAGA